CCACATAACCTCGCCGCACACCCAGCGGCGCGGTATGCATAAGGCTGCATTTCTCTGGGTCAAAAAAAAAAAAAAAGGTTAGGAAAGGTTAGGAAACACTGGTCTATAGGCTACGGTGGCCGCTTACCATCGAGTGGGCCATACTATTATTTACCACCCATTCAACATAAAAACAATTTACATCCTCACTCCGTAAAACTCTAAAAATGGTATTTCATATTATAACCATTAGGTTATACTAGCAAACCAGTGAACAAAATGTTCACCAAAACCTGATTTAAAAAAAAATAAAATGTATTTAATTAATTGAGAACTTCGGAGATTTTGTGTGGTTTAGTTTGAAATTCGTGATTTCTCGAAAACCGGAAGTGCTACGTTACTCAAATCCGGTTTGTAGTTTTATCAGACTATTCTTAACTTATAACTTAAATATTCTCTTTATATATCTCTTACGGTTTGGCCGCTGAAACAGCACCACAGACGGACGGACGGACGGACTTGTCTAATAGATAAGAGATCATTGAGAGCTTAATAACGAATTTTGACTCATCATTGATTAAATTTTACAGTGTTTTATCAATTCAAATTCAAACTCATTTATTCAGTCTAGGCTGTTACAAGCACTTGTGAAAGTCAAACGCTACGCCATCGGTTCGCAAATCTACGGCGGGAGACCTTGTACTGAGAAGAACCGGCAAGAAACTCAGCAAGGGCTGCTTTTTTCTCCCTGTTTTGTTTCATACAGTGTCGTCAATTGAAAGATGACATCAAACTTGCAAACATGGTGTTGATGTCAACTTCCATTACATTAATATTATTAACAAAAGTTAAGTATAGCTAGGTACTATTTTTAAATTTATAAGTGGCGATTAAACAATTTTCAACTAAATTAGCAAAGTAAAACGACTTAGTCTATTACTAGCAAACCAGTGAACCAAATGTTCACCAAAACCAGATTTAAAAAAAAAATGTATTTAATTAATTGAGAACTTCGGAGATTTTGTGTGGTTTCGTTTGAAATTCGTGATTTCTCGAAAACCGGAAGTGCTACGTTACTCAAATCCGGTTTGTAGTCTTATCAGACTATTCTTAACTTATAACTTAAACATTCTCTTTATCTATCTCTTACGGTTTGGCCGCTGAAACAGCACCACAGACAGACGGACGGATGGACTTATCTAATAGATAAGAGATATTAAGCCCAAGGTGACTTATCAATGTACCGTCCCTTTTGAGTGTGCGTTTTTTTTGTATATATGTTTTTATTTCTTGTTTAATATCACTAATGCATACTGACGCTATTGTACGTCTGTGCTGACCTACAAAATAAGCAGCGTAACAAAAATGGGGCGAACCAGGAATATAATGGTTGCACAGCGACACTGATTAGCGACCAATTTCCTTACAATCATCATGATCAGCCTATTAATGTCCCCTCTGCTGGGGCACAGGCCTTCCCGGTGGATGGAATAGGGAGATGGGGCCATGACCCACCACTTTAGATAGTAAATTTTTGGTCACCCATCCAATGACCGACCACTGCGAAAGTTGCTTAAGCTCAACGATCGCAGCCGAACGCGCCAACCACTTGCGCCATCGAGCTCCTATTTCCTTACAATGGTACCACTGGATTGTTTTTTTATTTATTTATTTATTTTAAACTTTATTGACCAAAATACTATTGTATTTTGGTATACAGACTTTTTGGTATACAGATTGACCAAAATACTATTGTATTTTGGTCAATTCATTTGAATCCATTCTATTGAATGGTACAAAAGGCGGACTTAACGACGACCTCCGTGGCCGAGTGGTTTGTACGCCGGGTTTCATGGCTGTCGCCGACTCGAGAGGTCCCGGGTTCGAATCCCGGTGGGGGCAGATGTTTGTGTGATGAATACGAACATTTGTACTCCAGTCATGGATGTTTAATATGTATTTATATAAATATACTTATATATGTACAGTATATGTATTCTATCCGTTACCCTAGCATCCCATAACACAAGCCTTATAGTGCTTACTTTGGGGCTAGGCTAATTGGTGTGAATTCGGTTTTTTTTTTATTTAATGCTAATAGCATTCTCTCCCAGTCAACCTTTGGGAAAAATAGAAAAACGCGAACGGCGGTATAAAGCTAAATATACACATAAATATTGAAATAATAAATAATATTAAAAGTATATACGAATTAACATAGACATACATATAAATACATACTACGAAAGGAATACACATACATACCAAATTTATATTTAAATATATATATACACATGATAATGATTAATAAAGTGACTCTTTATCTTAAATTTTGAAACAGAATATAAAATTTTAAAAATATTTTAATAACCATTCTACGTTTTTAATCTGCATTTTTTAGTCACTAAATTACGGCACCACATAAATGAATCTCTATTTTCGATTGACCAGGCTGAAAAACTTGCCACTCAACCTTGGTTAGAACCTATTTAGCATCATAGCACACACATCAACAAGAAAAGGGATCGACACTAACTAGCCTTTCGGCTAGCCGTCAAACAGGCGTTCACTTGTTGACGATGGAAAATGCATTTACGCACCATACCGCGCGCTGGCTGGACGCGCGGCGTGTGTGGGACGCCCCGGCGCGGGACAACGCCGGTCCTATCCACTAAAACCACCGGTACCCTCCTACGCCCATATGGGGGCGTCTCAGGATCGGCGTACCTTTTTTTTATTACGCAGGTAAAAAATGCTATTTACAGACGACGGCGCCTTTAAGAGGCACACCGCCGAACGGATCTCACACCTAGCTTCCGCAAGTCTTACGGGCGCCCCAGTGGCTGTCCACCGAGGACCCCGCAACTCTTACGGGCGCTTTACGGCATAATATCCGCTAAAAAAGTCCTGCGAATACCCTCTAAGCTGCTTAGCGCGAAGCCGCGGGATCCCCGTTTAGGGATTCCTCCGCGTCTCCGCACCTAGCAGCCTCCCGGCCTAGCCGGGGCTCCACGGCAGGGGTCTCCCGGGGTATCACGGGGACCCCGCAGACGTGCGCAGGTAGGCCCGCGCGTGGGGGTTGAGTACGCGGCCTAATGCCCACCGTACCGCCCCCCGTCCGCTGCGGAGGGCTACTTGGGCGTGCCCGTGTAGCTCCCTCCGCCGCCCCCCTCTTTTCAGGACAGAACTACAAGGGGGGGCTGCCGTCACGAGGTCCGTCGGTGGCCGGCACAGCCAACGCCATGCCGGTCAGCGAGGGACCCCCCGGGTAGGGTCATGGGACGGGCGCAGCCAGGGCGCGTCGCCGTCCTCTCCTACCCGTCCTCCTTTGGCGGGAGGGAGCGGCCATAGGATCATCCTCCCGCTCCCTCTCGGCCGCCTCCTTCTGCGAGATAACGTTCTCGCAGAAGGAGGCGGCCGCCTCCCATGCCCTGTCGCTGCGGAGCATGGCCTCCACCATGCTTCGCAGCGAGAGGGCTCCGCATCCCAGCGCCGCAATCAGCTCACGGCGCTGGTGTCGCCAGGCCGAGCACTCCAATAAGGTGTGCTCGGCCGTGTCGTCCGGGGCGCCGCAATGATGACACTGCGTCGTCTCCTCCCGACGTGCGACACGGTGCAGATAGTGATCAATCGTCCGGTGGCCGGCGCTAGCATGGGCGAGCGCCTCATCCCATCGCCGCAAAGCTTCGCTCTGGGCGATGGAACTTTCACCCCGCTCCCTGGCCTCGACCCGACCTCGATGCATTTAGGATCGGCGTACCTTAGCGCCACTTCACTGGGACGCCCCCGGGCTGACCCGGCCCAACGAGTGGACCGGACGACACGCCTCTGGAGGATTGCGCTAGGATACTAAGCAATCCCCAGACGGGCTGGCCTATGCCGAATGGCACCAAGGGCACGCGGCGGCCAAGCCGCGCCCAGACCACCTTAGGGCCGACGAAGACCGGCAGTCACAGCTGCCAGCCTTCTTCGGCCCACCCGTCTACGTCGGAGGGGAGCGGCTAGAGCATCCTCCTCCCGCTCCCTCTCCGCTGCCTCCTTCTGCACCATCACAACTTCGCAGAAGGAGGCGGCAGCCTTCCATGCCCTCTCATTGAGAGCGGTCCTCCGCCGAAAACAGGCGTCCACCTAGCGTAAGCGTATAACGTAAGCTGGGGTACGGAGAGACGTAAACTGGCAACGGAGAGTTGACCACGCACGATCGGGAACTTACCCCGAGGCGAGACGATAACGTTGCGATTCTAATTAGTGTGCGTAGCAGGGCTTGTTTACCGGTTAATTTTCAAACCTAAATCAGTGCCAAGTACATTAGGAGCGTTTTATTTAGGTTTGGCTCTACCTTAACCTTAAAAAACCGGTTTTCCTAAAAAGCGAAATCGAATAGGTTTTGAATCAATATAGCGGTTTTTAAAGGGTTTCATTTTGCTCTTACTGACGGTTGAAATAAATACACAACTACAAAATGAATAATTAGACTCACTAGACGATAGAAAACGTCGTATAAATGCATCAATCTCTAAGCATTAACAAGTTGTGACTTGATTAGTTCAAACAAAACAAACTTCAAGCGATGCCGACGCGTGCACATGTTGCTCTGGATTAAACCGGTTTATTATGGTTTCAGGTACCGCTTTTATTTCGGACGCGCTCCGAATGAAACCTTTACTAAAAACCGGTATTAACCTTTATTTACCGGTATATTTGAAACCGGTTTCAAGCCCTGGTGCGTAGCAGTAGGGAGTTCCATACAAAGAAAGAATACTGAACGGCTCGAGTTGATACAGCGACGATCCCTTTCCTAGTGGATATGATTGCTACGACCTAATTACTACATCCATTCAAACTCTAGCAACTATACTCACTTCACTTCTGTCACTGAATTATTGCAGCCCACTTGAGCTTAAGTGCAGTGAAGTTGGCAAGATATTTGACAAGTCTTAAAAACTTACCGCACGGCTATAATCCCGTCAACTTACATATTCACTCCAGGTAAATTAAAGTTTCGCTGCCTTTTGTTTCAGAATGTTGTACCCATCAGTGGCTGTGTGCTTGCTCATGCTAGGTGTCGCCTTCTGTGCGCCGGAACGGGTAACCAACGAGCAGGAACACGAGGAGGCGCACGGGACTGACGCGCGTGCCGTGCCGCTCGAGAAACGATCGCCGCACTATGACTTTGGACTCGGAAAGCGCGCGTACAGCTACGTTTCCGAGTACAAAAGGCTGCCGGTGTACAACTTCGGATTGGGGAAGAGGTAAGTTTGTTTAGATTAGATTATTATTAAAAGTGGGTTAACTAAGTCCTTTATCCGGTTTGCGTATGATATTATTAAATAATTATTGGTGTAGGTTACAAAAAAATGTAATGTTGTTACTTTATTTGTTTTCAAAATGTGACTAATAATTATTACTTTTCCATGATAAAAATAAACGCGTTACATAAAGTTTAAGCCTATCGAAATGCATTTGCATATAAACATTTCTGTAAAGCGGTAACACGCCGCCGACACTAAAACCAGTGTTCTTAGATATTTGCGGGGTCAACAGAGTATGAAAAACGCGCTAAAAATTAAATAAGTTCGGGGTCGATGACGACAAAAGCTAAAGTGCAGGTTGCCAGCTGTATTCAAATCTGCTCTGTCTACCTTCTTATTTTTTTACTAACCTATATCTAATTTCTTATAGGTCTCGACCTTATTCGTTTGGCCTCGGGAAACGCTCCGTCGACGATGATACTACTGAAGAGTACGGAAATGAAGACCAGGACGAGTCTTTGGCCGAACTGTTTGACCAGTACGATTCTGGCCCAGGTAATCAATAGAGATTTTTACATACATACAATAAAGCAACGATGTTAAATTACTAACCAATTGTCATTCAATAGCGACACTGGACTAAACTTATAAGAGTCACAATAAATATAAGCAAGAATAAAATTAGAAGATCAAAATACAGATGTTACAATTAAAAACATAAAACTGAAGAAGACACGATGTCTTACCTAAAAGAAGATAATTACAGTAATACATGTCCCACTGCATCTGATAACTATGAAAATTTAAAGCCAGTAATTATTTATTTTTGACTATGTCAGTCAAACTTGGATTTTTATCAAATTCACAACAAAGAAAATACAACACAGAGAGCAATACTATAAGAAGTATTATAAAATTTAAAAGCGCGAATGGTTGGATTAAAAGGGCAAATAGACTAACCATCTGGGCTAGATCTCTAGGTACAAAAAAAGTTGTAAACGAAAGAGAGATAGACCACTTGAAAAGTGAAAAGATGAAATTAAAACAACTACAGGAAAAGATTAGACAAACTCTAGAGGAGGCCTTTACTCGGGAAACGAGATACATAAAGAAGAACAAAAACAATTATTTACACAGAATAGAAAATCAACTATTTCAAAAGTTTACATATTTTTATATGGAATACAGAATAAATTTTACATTATGAGTATATATTTTTTCAATATGATTTCAATGGATACAAATAAAATTTACATTATTTCATATCATTTTAATAGATTAAATTACATATATTAATATGTATGTATTATATGTGTTTAAATGGAATGGAGACCACGCACCGAACGACGCTCAGTGGGCAGGCCCCCTACAAGGTGGACCGATGATCTTGTGAAGGTCGGGGGAAGCCGATGGATGCGAGTCGGTGTGGAGATCCTTGGGGGGAGGCCTATTCTCAGTAGTGGGCGTCGTACGGCTGACATGATGATGATAATGATGTGTATTAACTAGTATCCATGTGAATGTTTTTTTTTGTTAATGATTATTTTATGTCAGTGCATTCGCCCGGATTGCGAAGGGTGCGGGTTCGAGTCCCGTCCGCTACCTGGTCCGCGTGGATTTTTTTCTAGTAAACTTTTCTTTAGATTTAAACATCTAGCAGTTAAATGCTTAAAAATAAATAAAAACATAACTATAATTGCTATTTCTTCTTTCAAATGTTTAATACTTGAAAAAGTATTCATTTGACATTGTGGGTTATCTACAATGCGAAGAAATGGCGCTGCCTTGCAGCTTAAGGCTAGGAAAATTTCGACGCGGCGAATAGGGCCGTGGTAGCGTAATGGTCAGTGCATTCGCCCGGATTGCGAAGGGTGCGGGTTAGAGTCCCTTCCGCTGCCTGGTCCGCGTGGATTTTTTTCTAGTAAACTTTTCTTTAGATTTTAACATCTAGCAGTTAAATGCTTAAAAATAAATAAAAACATGATTATTTTATGTTTAATTTCAAATTAAATCACAAATTATTATTATTTATTCATTAATATATATTTCCAACACTCACACCAATTAGCCTAGCCCCAAAGTAAGCACTATACGCTTGTGTTGGATACTAGTGTAATGGCTAGATTACGTATACGTATATAAGTATATTTATATAGAAATGCATATTAAACATCATAATTGGAGTACAAATGCTCGTATTCGTCACACAAACAAAGTACTTGAAACCCGGCGTACATACCTCTCGGCCACGGATGTTAATTAATTAATTCATTAATAATGGTAAAATTGAATTGATATATAATATATATTAAAATTGTATAATGAGTTTGACCTTGTTTTGCATGTAAAAAAATGGGTTCGTGTACTTATGTAGGCGCGTGAGAAGTTATCCTTCTTTGGCATCGTTTAAAATTAGTTTTTAATTGCATGCAAATAATTAATTACAATAAATTAATAAAAAGTCTGGAAAAGGACACAGTCAATAAAGTTCAGTTTTAATTTGAAAAAATGAATAAATAATCAAAATATTCAATTAAAATCGCTACTGAATATAATTTATTAGAACATATGTGATTTGCACTTGTATGAAACTCAAACACGTATTCCGAATATACAAACTAGAAACATGTGGATAAATATTATAAATATGAATACCTATAACTGTTACTTTATTACAAAAAATAAAGATGTGGTTTTTGGTTCTACTACACCAATGGTAAAGAGATGGCGCTGTAGTCTTCTGAATCGCACTTTGGTTCCGTTGTTCCAGATTAATAAATACTTTTGATATTATAAATATGAATACCTATAACTGTTACTTTATTACAAAAAAATAAAGATGTGGTTTTTGGTTCTACTACACCAATGGTCAAGAGATGGCGCTGTAGTGTCCTGAATCGCGCTTTGGTTCCGTTGTTCCAGATTAATAAATACTTTTGATAGGTCTTCACAATGCAGTCGTTAGCACCCACTAAATAGAGATTCTATTTCTATTTTGTTGGTAGATTTTCTTAATGTGCGGTAAACACAAAAGTAACGCATGAAGTTGGTCGCTAAAGCGACCAACTTCATGCTGTTAAAATTTTGTGTTACAGTGATGCGCGCGCATCTTAAAATTTCACTCTCATCATTTTTTCATAACGCGCCTAAAGAAGTATAACTTCAAAAATGTAAAAGCATCTTTAGGATTAAATAACAGGCTTTATTATTATTATTATCTATTTAATTTGCGATAATCAGTTCATTCATAAAGTAAATTTCTTTTAAGCCTTTAAAAAAAAGACACTACTTATTTGATAATTGATTTCAAAACATTATACATATTTTTTTACCTCTACAGTTTACGAAGAGAAACGAGCTCGCCCATACAGCTTTGGACTCGGAAAACGGTTCGTCGACGACGAGGCAGAAGAAAAGCGCGCGAGAATGTACGACTTCGGACTCGGAAAACGCATGCCGCTCTACAACTTCGGTCTAGGGAAGCGAGCGCGGTCCTATAACTTCGGCCTTGGAAAACGACTCAGCAGCAAATTCAATTTTGGACTCGGAAAACGGCAAAGGGACCTGCACCGTTTCAATTTCGGCCTCGGAAAGAGATCGAACGAAGACGTTTCTCTTGACGACAGTAATGACTATTATGAGGGTTAACTTGTTCGTTGTTTTCGGGGGGTGGGTAATGTATCATTTTGGCCTGCCATACGGAATTAGTCCCAAATATGCGTGGAATTATTTTTACACTCTAAGAAGCTGACACCGCTTATAAAGTGAAATGAGCTTGCACTTAATCTATGCAATGGGAGAAAATTCAATAAACTATCAAAATTAAGTGTAAGAGGCTATTCTCTAAGCCTCTAACGCTATCTGTAAGATGAATTGTTAATTCGCAAACGGGACTAAATCCGGATGGCATGGAATACCGAATATTTTTTTTTGGGGTCAAACAATATGGACATAATGCTAGTGTTAATTCGTTGTATTTTTGAAGTTTTAAAGTAGTGTTTTAATTAAACTTCTATTTTTTATTTGATTAATATCGGAACAGTAAAAAGTTAAGAAGGAATATTCGTAACTCTCTGTGATTTCCTTGTGAAAAACCCAGCCTATTTTCACAGGTAAATACCAAAAAGTTCTGATTTATTTACTCTTAATGAAGAAATCAAGTTATCATCTACTTCATTTTGTATAGTTTTAGTAATCACAAATATTTATTTATATTATAATTAAGATTTCAGACTGCAACTTTACTTGAGTTTCGGATGTAGAGTCGGATATTTATCATTGTAATTAAAAAGTAAAGCTTAGCAGAGCGAAGATATTTTATAATGATATATTTAATTTTAATTACATTATAAATTTACGCAAAATTAGTCTTTTCGAAAAAGTCTATGCCAATCAATTATATAAATTTGAAAGCTTAGATAAAGCAATGGAAGGAGGTCTTTGTTTTTAATTTTGTAAATTAATTGTTAAACATTCGTACGTAGTTATGTATGGGATAGCTAGTTGACTTTAAATAATAAAAAAAAAATTGAGAACGAGTTACGAGTTTTAGTTTTATGACATAAATAATTTTGTTTAATTACAAAAACGACTTATACCTACTTGTAAAACCGCTATTACGTATTTAACTTTCCTAAACTAAAATAAATTTAACATTACATCAATTTGTGTTTTAGTATTGTGTTTTTAGGAGTACCTACTTGTTATTAAATCTATTTGTTGATAGAATTACGCATTTTTTTTTTCAAGATGTTTGTTTATTTTTTATTAGGAACCTATTTACTTACAATAGTTTTATAAATTTACATATTAATATATTAATAATAAATAAGTGATCACATAAATTGTAAATGGAAATTAATTTCTTCGTAACTCGTTACATCTAAATAATTATGTACTTAAATAAAAATAAGTTTCCCTTGTGTTAAATTGAAACACGTTGTTTTTAATATAACCATTGAATTATACAAATCAAATTAAAAATATACAGATCATAGATAGTATTGCATCATTGAATGTTATTATTTGTTTATTTTCTACCTGACACTCCTTTGTCCCATACAAGGCAGTAGCCATATTCAAGCCATACTTTTGCATTATGAACCCAGGAACAGGGTTGGAAACCGGTTTCTAAAATACCGGTAAATAAAGGTTAATACCGGTTTTTAGTAAATGAAAGCGGTACCTGAAATCTGTTAATGCTCAGAGATTGATGCATTTATTGACACGTTTGCTGGCGTCTAGTGAGCCAAGTTATTAATTTATTATCAATGCCGTCAGAAAGAGCGAAACGAAACCCTTTAAAAACCGCTGAATTGATTCAAAACCTATTTGAATTCGCTCTTTAGGAAAACCGGTTTTTTAAGGTTAAGATAGAGCCAAACCTATATAAAACGCTCCTAGTGTACTTGACACTGATTTAGGTTTGAAAATTAACCGGTATACAAGCCCTGCCCAGGAATTTACACGTAGCTAGCCCGTGTAGCGCTCGTGTGCAATCATTACCCTAATGCCCTCTAGGTAAGTATGTATTTTATGCCCTGTGAGGTGTATGTCAATAAAGAATATATTACAAGTCAAGAGAGATCTGGGGAAGCAAGCTCCACCTTACAAAAGACCCGTATAGCGCTCGTGTGCAATCATTACCCTAATGCCCTCTAGGTAAGTATGTATTTTATGCCCTGTGAGGTGTATGTCAATAAAGAATATATAACAAGTCAAGAGAGATCTGGGGAAGCAAGCTCCACCTTACAGAAGACCCGTGTAGCGCTCGTGTGCACTCATTACCCTATTGCCCTCTAGGTAAGAATGTATTTTATGCCCTGTGAGGTGTATGTCAATAAAGAATATATAACAAGTCAAGAGAGATCTGGGGAAGCAAGCTCCACCTTACAGAAGACCCGTGTAGCGCTCGTGTGCACTCATTACCCTATTGCCCTCTAGGTAAGAATGTATTTTATGCCCTGTGAGGTGTATGTCAATAAAGAATATATAACAAGTCAAGAGAGATCTGGGGAAGCAAGCTCCACCTTACAGAAGACCCGTGTAGCGCTCGTGTGCAATCATTACCCTATTGCCCTCTAGGTAAGAATGTATTTTATGCCCTGTGAGGTGTATGTCAATAAAGAATATATAACAAGTCAAGAGAGATCTGGGGAAGCAAGCTCCACCTTACAGAAGACCACCGAAAAAAACACTACCTTTTTTTGATGCTGTTGTGTTTTTGTTAGGGAGTAGGGTTCCAGGGCTCCGGGCGATTGGGTTCAGGTAGGCAAGCTAGGCGATTGGGTTCTGGTTCAGGTCGGCAAGCTAAAGATGGCTGAAGTGGCACTCTTTCTACCGCATCTATATTTCTTCGCGACTGAACTCCACTTAGACTTAACATCAAGAAGAGTAGGGTAATTTGCTGCACCTCATATAAAAAAAACAATATGTCAGTCAGCAATTTAATGGGAACCGAAAGCTTTGTTAGTAAATCGTATTACAATTATTAATCATACTTGGTTAATAATTGTAATACGCCTTACTGAGCATAGCGGCTTTTCGTAAGCACTTCATCATAATCAGCCTATTAATGTCCCCACTGCTGGGGCACAGGCCTTCCCTATGGATGGAATAGGGAGATTGAGCCTTGACCCACCACGCGGGCCCAATGCGGATTGGTGGGTGCTAACGACTGCAGATGCAGCCAGGACCAACGGATTAACGTGCCTTCCGAAGCACGGAGGAACTTGAGATAGTAAATTTTTGGTCACCCATCCAATGACCGACCACTGCGAAAGTTGCTTAATTTCAACGATCGCAACCGAACGCGCTAACCACTTGCGCCATTGAGCTCCTCCTCCTCTTATTCAGTTTAGGCTGTTACAAACAGTCATGAATGACTAGAAGCTACGCCATCGGTTCGTAAATCTACGACGGGAGACCTTGTATTGAGCAGAACCGGCAAGAAACTCAGCAAGGGCTGTTTATTTTCTCCCTGTTATATTATTTACAGTCGTTGAAAATGACTTCAAAGATGATTCATGAAATTACCTTTAATTACATAATGCGAAATAAACATTAATTGTCCTATTGCATTTTGATTTCTGTGTCATACAGTATAAATACAAATAGTGTTATTTGTATATTAGGTAGATACATTATCTTCAATATCAAAGTAGTTAGGGCAGACTCATCTCCGCTGGCAGCACCCGTTCACGAGTATGACGCATGAACCAGCCATCGCATTGCTCAACCATATTTTACGGAACTTAACGACCCGCCTAACACGACATAGAGAGTCCGTAGGTACACTTGCGGAAAGACCCGCTCTGTCACCCATAATACCATATCGCTTGCGGTAGCGGCGTAGTAAAAATTCATTCATAGACATGTAATTATCGCTGTCTTACTTTTTCGTATAGCGCTGTCGCGATCACGATGCGGATGACAAATTGCAACTAAAACAAATGCAATTCAATTCATTATTCAATCAATGAAATGCTCTCTGTCTTACTTTTGTGCGGCGGCCCGGATTGGCGCGTCCGACGCGAAGGCGGGGCGTAGTAAAAACTACTGTAGAAAACCGTTCAAAGCATTTTGTTCGCCAAGTGACAGAGCGCAAAGTACCACTGACGTTAGACGCTAGTCTCACCACCGACCATGATCGAGAAGCAAAAAGAGCTAGAAACTAGAAAGAGTTGCCATGCAGCTGCAAGCGAGTGTGTAGTTCAAATAGTTTGATAGCTGAACTAGATCTGGATGTGGATCTAAGAAAACATGCATGCGCGTGCGTTTTGTTTTCAGCGAGCATCGCTGTGAGAGTATTATCTTTGATAGCTCTTGTCGCTCAGCGACAAACTAGTGGAGCGAGTTCACAGAAACAGTAGGCGATCAACTATCAATATATGCATCTCTTTTGTTAGCGCGGAATGTACGTTAGGCGCTTTGCAGACGACGGGGCGGGGCGGGCTTTGTGTCCGCGAAGCAATAAAACCCGCGTTTGCCCGTCGATGTCTGCGGCTGCCCTCGCCGCGTACACAAAGCACACGACGGGCAGAGGCAGTCAGTTCAGGACGTTCGTTCTAGTGAATAGTCCATCACTAAAAACCCCGTGGCGCGGAGTGAGCTAGCCGCCCCGCGCCGCCGTCTGCGTTACTGCATATAAACTGGTTTGTATGATCCACGGCGGGCAGCCGCGGACATGCCGCGCCGCCAGTGCCCGCGGGGCACCTGCGGCGCGGTCTTTTTGCCCTCTGTGTGCGTTTGTAGTATAGGATTCACTTTGTGCTATCGTCCACGGCCAAATTGACCGGCCCGCTCCGCCCCGCCGTCTGCAAAGCGCCTTATCGTATGTTTCTTGAGCGAGAAAATAACAGAAAATCTCTTACCTCGACGCGACGGCCGTGGAACGACTGCCTTAACAATTACTAATGCCGACCGCATAAAAGGTCCTCATTTACAAAACTACTTTTGAATGATGTTGCTGCCCGGCTATGAGTTTAGTTATTTTTTTACACACACCAAATCCCCAAAGTAAGCACTGTAAGGCTTGTGTTATGGGATACTAGGGCAACGGATAGAATACTTAATATACTGTACATATATAAGCATATTTATATAGTAATACATATAAAACATCCATGACTGGAGTACAAATGCTCCTATTCATCACACAAACATCTGCCCCCACCGGGATTCGAACCCGGGACCTCTCAATTCGGCGTCACCATGAAACCCGGCGTACAAAACATTCGGCCACGGAGGTCGTCAAATTAAAATAGATTAGACTGATTAATGATTCTTTTCTGCATTTGACCATACAGGGTGTAAAAAAACCTATAACGAAGTCGAAGGCAATGTATTTTCTACATTATGAAGATCATTTTTTCTTCTGGACCATACCAGGGAAATTTATGGTTATGGAGATATTCAAAGTCAAAGCCAAAATATTTTTTTCAAGATTTATACATTAATATTTTCAAAACGTTATTTAGAAACTTTTTTATCGATGCACTTACACACGCACACTCATACGCACATTCTTTGCGTAGCGCCACAGTAAAGCGCCGCGCTATACATTGCGTACTGGAAAAAAAATGTATTTTTATAACTTAAAAAAAAAATCCCACCTATAATATTTTGTAATATGACTTGTTTGTTGACGTTTCGCAAGACTAACAGATACTATTAGTTCTTTTTGTTTGCATAATTTA